TAAGCGACATCCTTTCCGAAGGCAGCGCAGGTTCCAGCCTCCCCGACTATGACCATGTGGCCCTAATGGATATCATAATAAAGGATAGATCGCAGAAGTAGTTTGACCTTTGGGGAACTTTTAAGCTCTGAAGTAGGGGAACAGTAGTAAGAAAAATCGATAGCCTAAGAAAGTATGAAACAGTTTGCTTCAAGGGCTATGAATCTAAGGTCATCATGGTAGCAGTAACATTCACCACACAGTTTGTGGATTAGATGTTCCCGAAAATGTGGTGGTGTCGCACTTGAAGCATTAGCACATGTGACAACGCACTGAAAAATGGAAATTGGCCACCGCCATGGAGGCTTACTGGTTTCCATATATTGTAAGCACTATTGCGGCGGAAAGTTGGAGGCCAATTTGAAATTTAAAACAGTTGCACAGTACGCCGATCATACGACTTTGATATGGTCACGATGGAGAGAGAGAGCACAGTCGAGGGCATTCGGTCCTCATTTTGTCCATTTCTCTTTCACAAATAGCTGTGCTTTTGACTTGAAATTTTCAGATTGCCTCGTTAGGTACCAAATCAAAACGCTTTAATACGCTGGAATTCTTGCTTTGTAGACCATGACTACAGGGAAATTAGACGAGTATTCGACACCGAAGACGTTTCTGGAAAAAATTTTCGACGTGCTCTTGTGTAGGTGAGACGTTAGCTCACTTCTATATGTGTTCGACTCTATTCCGACCTGTTTGGTTCTTATAAGGATATCAAGAAAGAGCCTGCCAGGCTGACAGACGACAAAAATAATCCAGAAACTACACTCTTTATCCCTGAGACGGAGTAGGCGTGGCTTTTGAGCATGGCATAGGACGGGTTTCTCGTGGGATACTTCAATTTGAAACAACTGCTATCTTGTTCTGTGTTAGATGTAGACATGATTACGACTGCTCCGAAATGAAATATCTCATTACTATTCAACTTCTTCCTCTGTCGAGTTGCAAGGTGGTTCCAGGCACTTCCTAGCAATGTAATGAAGTCTGAAAGTAGTAGAATTTTCAAGTCTAAGCTTAAAGAAATCGATTTGCTTCGTGTATTGGGAGTGAACGTTCATCAATAATTATTTTCAGGATAGTTTGTGCGCGGTGTTTATTACAGTGTTCTCACTATGGCTTCTACTTGAGAGATGGGATATTCCCGTGTGCTTTTCATGTGATGTTGGTACGTCGTGGTGTGCTTCTGCCGCGGTGTGGTTTCCTAGGTAGTGCCGTGACCTTCGAGTTCGTACAGTGGCATCTGTTTCTGGAGGAGCATCAATTTTTTCTTTTCTTCCGTTGACTCTCTATCTGGCCTACAGCCCATATGTGGTATTGCGTTCTTCATTTCGGATTTGATTGTTATGATTTTGGTGGAGCATGCGAAGCTCACTTCGAGTGGACACTTGGATTTTTGCTGGCTCATGGCATCTGTTATTGTTTTTCTACGTGACATGCTCGTGGTAATATTTTTCCCTCGGGTATCCATGTTAGGGTTTACGGGAAGTATCTGTAATGTGTTTTCCTAGCCTCCCTTCTTATGTTTTGTGAGTTGCTCGTTGAGTAGCGGCACTAGATGCTTTGCTCCCTGTGTCTTTTGTCAGTTTGTGTTGACCTGTTCTGCGAACCGACTATCATTTTCAACGGACTGATCCACCTCGGGCAGAGCTGTCTTGGTTTTCTACATTCACTCCAGCTTGCTGATTCCACGTGGGCAGCCGGTATACCCGTGTTTCGGAGTTTCAGCAAGTCCCTATGACCCCATTGTTGGTGAAGGGCATCTTAGCCGGCTGATGCGGGTCCTTGCAGAAGACTATGACGGCTCTTAGGTGGTATGTCCTGTGGGGTTATCTCTGTGGTTCTTTCTTAAGGGTGCTCCTGCTCAGCGTGCCACTCATTCAACCGATTTCCTTTCAGTTCCTCAAATTTGGTTGAGTTGATTTGATTTTTTTTCCTTAGTTGTTATACTTGCCTAGTGCTTTGCTGATTTCATATTATAAGTGTTTTGGCGTGTCCTATATGAGCATGATAAAATAAATAAATAAATAACATCTCAGGGGAAACCTGAGCGCCCCTTTTAAAAATCTAGGTGGAGGCCAATGCTGCTGCGGGCATCGAATCTGCTCTGCATTCCTGCTTTTATTAGAAAACCAGTCACTGGCACCCTCTTGACCATGCCCAATTTTTCGGTTTGTACTCGGTCAGCGGTTTCAGCAGAGTGTCAGCCTTGCCGGGGCCGGGCCAACCAAGGTTTCCAGGACAAGTTCCAACCTTCTGGTAAGCCAAGTTAGTCAACCCTTAACTATATCCAGCCGATTTTCTTGTGCGGGTAAACAACATATACTCGAGATCCCTGAGATCGGGTAGGCGGGGCTGCATTCTTCAACTTAACCTGAAGGTGTCTATGCTTCTGGTGGAATATTTCCATCTTGACACAACTGTTGTCGTGTCTCTGACACAGAACAAGATGACAGTTGTCCCAGACTGGAATATTCCACGAGTAACCAGTTAGTCAACTCTTGACTATATCCAGCCGATTTTCTTGTGCGAGTAAACAACATATGTCCTCGTCGGCCACGTTTTTTCGTTCTTCCCTCTTTGGACTTCTGATACTTCATGTAGCCCGATTTTAGGAGCTCTCTCGGATTTGTTTTCATTTTTCAAATTAATGTGCCAAAAATAATGTCCAGCGGAGCAGAGGTACTACTGCATTGAAAGCTCAAAAGAAAACGGAACTGAAAAAAACAAGTGAGCCGAGAAAAAGAATAAAACCATCCTCAATCTGCCTATGCTAAGGAGCGACCAGAATTCGAGATAACAGGGGAATCTAGGTATTAACTTCAACTTACAACAAATACTCAAAGATGATTACTCAGATGATCCATAAAGAACTTAGTGGCCTTGCATTTATTTCGTGCATTGATTGGAGTGATGAACTGCCAGTTGTTTCAGAGGTGACTTATCAACGGAGGACGTCGAGCAAGAGCCTGTGTCAGTAACCGACTTGGTACGTTTTCCTTAATTTCTTTCTCTACGTGGAATTCAATATGTCCACGTCCCCCAGATTTAAGCACTACCGGGCACTATGAAATTATATCTAGTCTCTTTCGGCCGGAAATTTACAAGTTACGACCATATCGTGAAAATAAGAAGGGCATGCCTAGGACCCAGCTGAGAGTTTAGCGGTACTGGGCAGCTAGCGCTTTGGCCGCACAGGAAAGTAGCGTGTGCATAAGATAGTGTCAAGAGCTCGAGACGAGCTCTAATTCCTCTCTGTTTGGATCGATCACTGTTCACAGTGTAGCCGTACTAAGTACAGTGGTGGTCCCTGCGAACGAGAGAGGGTGTTGCGGCGCAGTTAAAAGCAAAACCCGCGATCATTCGCCACCACGATAGTGGATTAGTGGTTTGATATACAGGGGGGGGGGCAATAAAAAAAAGACTTTTTTCTTCCTTGACTTTCGAGGCGCTATAAGTTACACTTTATTGAATTCTTATCGGACATTTCTACCACCATATTAAAGAGCATATTAAATACTATCACGATACTCCGCCACAGCCTTCTGGAGGAGCGCCATCGAGAGATTCTGCCACGCGACCGTGAGTGGGTGCCTGAGTTCAGCGAGATCGTTGATTTCTCCGCCACTGTAGACCACCCTATTGAACTCCGCCCGAACCAGGTAATTGAGGGGGTTTAGGTCAGGTACCTGCTTAGATATTCCACCTTCTTCAGGTACTCAACGCCCTTCCATTTCAAGTAGGCAAGAGTTTTCCCAACGCCCTTCGATTCCATGTGGTGTCACTCAATGCTGTAGCAGTACAAAGTTTCCAAAGAAGGTACGGGCGACCACATGTGAGGAGGATATTCTTCACGAGTTGCCCAATGTAACCGCCAGCGCTCACCTTCAGTCCGGGGCCCACGAAGAAAATATCGGTCTCTCCCAGGTACGTCCGGTCCCCACCATCAACTGGCGCCTTGGCGACTGAGGTGAAGATGATGTCCTAGACCGTAGCGACGTTGACGGAGCTGCTCGATGATGGAGGTCTTCCAGATCGAGAGTACTGCTCTCCAGGTAGCTATCCATGGGTGACTCCATACTAGAAGTTTCGCAGCTGTTCGGAGGTGGCATGAATTCCGAAGGTCTTCTCCAGTCAGGTTGCGACTGGAGATGACTTCATATTTTGGCGTACATGAAGGTGGTGGGCGAGCGCCAGCTCCTGCTTATAGAGGAACATCTTGGGTATCTTCCGCCCTGGTACTCGTATCCACGTCCTCTGTCTGGGCTGCGAAAACTTTGCTGATATGTGACTCGGTCGAAATGTCTTTTTTGCCCCCCCCCTGTAGATGATAAGGTGTTGAGTAAGAGTAACCCGATAGTGAAGAAAAGAAGTAGAAAAAAAACATGCCATCCGCATTAGATGGTACCCCATTTCGATCCCAGTTTGTACGTATCCAGTGCATCCCATCTCCAGCACTACGCCCTCATCCCACAGCTGATTCCCCGATAAGAACCCTACGACCCTTCAATTGACGATTTTCATGGTTTTTCGTCCTGCAGCATCGTTTTTCACCGAGAGACGGGGGCGGAGCCTAGAGGCGGAGTCACTGGGAAAAAATGAGGCGTCACTGAACCGTTATCGCGCTATAGCGCCCTTCCCTTACAATTTTTTGCTGCGGAAGCGGTACAGGGTTGTTTGCCGCGGAACAGAGTACCCTGAATACCTGATCGCAGATCGAGCCTTCAAGAGCGTAGCCGTTGTTCCGACAATGATGTCAACCTCGGTGACTGCATCTCACAAAGGGCGGGGCTTCACGCAGCAACCCTAAATTGCAAAAAAAAAAACATCGAAATTCCGCGAAAAGCCAGTGGGCGTGGTCAGCCTAGAGTGCCAAACCCTTTAGAGAATGGGCGGAGTCGGCCATGTGTGAATGCACGGTGGTTTCCAGTCAAAGGGTGAAACAAGATTTGAGAATCTATGTGGGCGTGGCCGTCGGGGCGGGGCTCGCAGTGATGTCTGGCGTGATCTGGTTGATGAGTTGCCCGCCCTAATAAGTGTGGTTCTTGATGAAGAGTGAGGGTGAATTTGGTTTGAAAAAGGACGAATTTGGTTTGAAAAAGGACGAATTTGGTTTGAAAAAGGGCGAATTTAAAGTGAAAATGGTATATATACCAGAAGTTGTATGTGTGTGTATGTCTGTGTGACCGCCTGGAATTGGCGGTTTTGTGGAAATTTACTTAAAGGCAGTTGGCACGATAAATCCCCCAAGACGACTAGGATCAATACTCCTGGCAGGATAGAATTCCGCGACCCTGGGCAGGCGCTGCATAGCGGTTTCCCCGAGGAAGGTGCCCTTATAAGGGCCCTATCAAGCCACAACTTTACGTCCCAACGCCCGCCACCCGCCCGCCCACAAATGGACGACCGTTCCTGACGCTCGTATTCATTCATTTGCTAAGCAAAATGAAGCGAAGGGATTGGTATGAAGCGGCCGTGATGCTGCATGCATATATGGGTACACATATGCAGCCGTATCTTCGGTAGCGGTGATTGGCAGTACTACGGGAAACTCGTCCGAAATCGATTTTCAAGTCACTGAGAACGGAGGCTTTTTCTTCGCAGGATTTTGACCGTTTCACTCCGTTCTTTCGCCATTTCCCCACTATACAGCGCCCTACTAGCATTTTAGGCTAAGTAGGAAACCATCGTGCCAACTGCCTTTAAGGGTACAGATGTGCTTGGAATAGACGTGGCATGGACCAGCATTAGCCACCACACAAGCCACCTAAGCTCCGCGCCCACAATGGGCGGGGCGTTGGCCGAAGTGGACAAAGCCGAGGATAAAAATCCTCAAAACGCATCCGGAGCAGACTAGGAAACAGGGAACATGGGTGAAACTGAGCAGCGGGTAGGTAGATGAATTGAGAGAGAGACACCCGTAAGCAGTATATTGTGTATCAAACGGTTAGGGTCCCCTGCGATAGTTCATAATTCGATTCCGAGGCACATAAAAGTGGCACAGGCATGTGTCTCAATGGATGGGGCCATAATCGAAGATTCCTAAATCAATATATTTACTTATTTTTTATTTACCTGCTATTTATTGCACAAAAATTTAGGTATTCGCATTCCCACTTCAGTTCGCTCACTAATTTTCCGACTCCGACATACCACACACTGATTAAAGGGCAATTTGAGGACTGTTTACCAAGTAGAGGTCTTCGCTATCTCTCTAAATATAATATAATTCAGGAGTTGTACATATGTGTGTGTATGTCTGTGTGACCGCCTGAAATTGGGGTTTCGTGGAAATTTACTTTAAGGGTACAGATTGTGCTTGGAATAGACGTGGCATGGACCAGCATTTGCAGAGCACACACAAGCTCACCTAAGCTCCGCCCACAATGGGCGGGGCGTTGGCCGAAGTGGACAAAGCCGAGGATAAAAATCCTCAAAACGCATCCGGAGCAGACAGGAAACAGGGAACATGGGTGAAACTGAGCAGCGGGTAGGTAGATGAATTGAGAGAGACACCCGTAAGCAGTATATTGTGTATCAAACGGTTAGGGTCCCCTGCGATAGTTCACTCTGCAAGTCCTCAACACTAAATAGGGTATCCTATAGAAAATTTCGACGACTGCTTTCTAGGGGGGGGGGGGGTATATACAACGAATGAAACGGCAAAGTTCTGTAATTTTTGAAAAATTTTTTTGACAAACACTGGACACTGGAAAAAACTCTGGGGCAAATACCCACTTCACACGCGGAAGGAGGATCGCCCCGCACAGAAAAAACTCTGAGGGGAAATACCCCCTTCACACGCGGAAGGAGGATCGCCCCGCACAGAAAAAACTCTGAGGCAAATACCCAGCGCGCTCCCACTGCTGGAGTATAATTTTGCGCGAATGTTACGGAAATAGTGATTGGTGGAGTATAATTTTGCGCGAATGTTACGGTAATAGTGATATCTCTCATGTCCAGTAGGCAGTGCGAGAGAGAATTCCTTGAAGAAATTATTTTTTTGAACGAGTTTCAGTTTCGATACGCCTCCACAAGGGATCGATACTATGTAGCTGCTGGTTTCATTCTGGCCGTCATAGTTGGAGCAGTTTTGCCGTTGAACTGTGTACTTGGAGGACTTTATACAAATATATACCTGCAAAACAACGATGTGAGTTGCAATGATGGCGTCATTTTCCTGCGAAAAATTTTTTTTGTAAAAAGAGACAAGATTCACCAATAGAGAACGTCTCGCGCTACAAGACATTGTAATTAGTTTTCTGTTCTTCTCTTGGCTTTTGCTAGTTTTTATTTCATCAGAATGGCGCTAACTAACTACTGATTAAGACCTCAAAAAATGCCTGTCAGGAGAGGACAAGACGCAGTTCGGCGACGGGGCGGACGGTGCAGGGGCATTCTGTACTTTCTTTGCTTGACTAGTCCGATTTTAGAGTTTCACTCTGGTAAAACCTGCTGAAAGTCCATTGGCAGGCTTCAAGCCATCATGGCTGAACCTGTCAAACTCGAAGCAAGATGCACGTCGAGACTTGGTTCGACAAGTTGGTGGGGAGAAGCCAAAAGTGCAGAATGCCCCCGCTCGCCGAAGCCGTTGCCCTCACGAGATGCTCCACGTGACTACGGTAGCCGCTTCTATTCTCGAAGATAAAAAATTAACAGAGGAATTTCGCTATCGAGACAGCTTCACGGAGGAATCCCGTGATATGCCTGCGACAGGCGGCCTTGTCTCAACGGCTGGCGGCTTAAGGGCTCTTAGTGGTCGACGAAGGTTGTACCTATGGCGTGGCCATCCAGGTGGCCTAGAATTCATGACGCTAGTCTGCCGAGCTCGGCAGAGCGAAAACGGTGGCACACACATCTTAGTGGTGTCAGCAAAAATTGATGCTCAATCCAATGCACAGCCACGAGCTTGCTAAGTTTGATGCGTTAAAGTAAGACAATACCGGCACTCGGTCTTGAAATCGAGTAAGGCCCCCAGGGCGCCAATATAGCGGGAAAATAGCGCAAATCGAAGTGAAACGGTCGAAAATCCGCAAAAAGCCTTTGTTCTTCAGGTTAGGAAGCGGTTTCGGACGAGTCTCCCGTTGGCAACGTGCCAATAACCGCCTGCGGCTGCATGTCTTAACTCATATATCCATGCACACTGCAGCTGTTTCATGTCAGTCCCTTCGCTTCATAATGTACTTTGCGAAAGAAGCGATGCGAGCATCAGCAGCGGTCGGACTTTTGTGGACGGGGAAGGGGGCGGTGGGCTACCGGGTCGACATGTAGCAGCTCGATAGGGCGCTATAAGTGTACGTCTCCTGAGAAAGAAGCCACGCAGCGCCTGCTAAGGAGCGCTGAATTCTGTCCTGCTATGCGTATTAAAGGTAGAACCCGCGATTATTCGCCATCTCAGATAGTGGATTAGGGGGTTCCATATAGACGACAAGGGGTTGAGTAACTCGACAGTGAAGAAAAAAAGCACAAAAAACATGCCACCTGCCCTAGATAGAACCCCATTTTGATCCCAGTTTGTACGTGTCTGGAGGCGGAGTCACTGGAAAAAAGGGGGAACCACTGAACCTATATTGCGCTATAGCGCCCCTCCCTTAGAATTTTTTGCCGCGAAACCGGTACAAGGTTGTTCGTCGCGGACCACTCTAACCTCCTGACGCCATATTTTCAACTTCGATACCTGATCGCGGACCGTGCCTTTAATCCCACACGTCTTGGAGATTTATCGTGCCACTTGCTTTTGAGAGCACAGTCCATGGGCTGGGAAAGTCAGCCATCGTACTTTTCCTCTATGATGTACTGCTCTGTGGCAGTAAGGAGTATGCCATTGTGGAAGTGACGATGAGATGATGATGATGACTGTCTCCGCCCATACCTCCACCTGAACGGGTTGTGCCGTCATGTGAAAACTGAGGCGATCGCACCCTTCACGACATCACACTGACGTCACCACCTACCAAGCGAAAAAGACCTAATCGCCATTGGTAGCTTGTTGCAGCATGTCGGCAACGACTCCTTGTGGACGCAAGCGTTTCATCTTTGTGCTGCTTATCTAGGCGGTGGTGTGTTGCTCTTCATCTTGTGTTACTTCCAGGTAAGAGGATTTCGCTTGTGTAATGCGGACTTCGCTTCTTAAGTTTTTCAGAATTATTTTCTCTCTCTGGCTAGCCACAATATAGTTGGGCGCATACGGAAGGAGTTCGTAAAGGCAGTGTTAGCACAGAATGCGGCATGGTTTGACGAAAACAACGCAGGAGCGATTACCACGAAGCTGAACGAGTGCGTGAAAAAGACCTTGATTCATGAGCTTTACACAGAGCAGATTCTACTATAAGCGTATGT